ATACGAATTGAAACTACATTATTTTTTAGGAAAACGAAACTATTGATGAATTGACTGACAGTCAATCATAGAAAGTGAATTTTTGTACGTGTACTCAAAAATCGGTTATCAAAGGAACCAAGAAAAAAATTATCTTCCTGTGACCAGCTGGGTAAATGTTAGAAACTTTAGGCTGTAGGAAAAATCCCCGAGACATCTGATAGTTACAGGAAAAAGGAACAAATCTTGAGAAGTAAAATTTTCAAGCGAGATATTTCTGTTTCAACTAATTAGATTAGAACTGGAAGAATAAAAATGTACTATTTAAGTTATTAAAATTTAATTTATACCTAAAATGTTTGGTTGAAAATGTACCCCTAAATACAGCTTAACAAGAACTGTTTACCGAGGGGAATATATAAGTTTTCATATTTTATGAGTACTTTTTTGATAGAGTTTTGTTCTCTAAGATGGATGGTTTGGTCGTGGAGCTTTCATATTTATTCTGAACGACATCATCAGAACAAACTTCGGGTAGACGTGAGGTGTTTTTGCTGATGATGTCGTTCAGAATAACGATGAAATCTTTACGGCCAAACCATCTAGCTCAGAGAACAAAGCTCCATCAAAATCATCCACCTGAGCTACAAATCTTCCCCACCATCTCATTTAATGAGTTACAGTATAGATGCCTAACCGTGAAAGAGAATATAACTTGTTAAACTTGACAAAGTTTAAGTACACAAAAGAAGTAAAGAGAATAACATCAACAAATGACTCAGCCGGAGGGAAATTTTAGCTAAGAATTTATTGTAATGAATATGCTGGAATTCCGTTCAAATGTTTTGATCTAAAAGTTAAACCGATGCACTAGACAGGACACTGAATAATGGCTGTACTGAGCTGTAAAATGAATAAAGGTGAGAACTGTGAACTTTTAAATTTTAATTTAGTTGCTAAAAGATATCGTGCACCCCATATGACCTGAAAGTCTTAAAGTTACACTCCATAGATATGAGCCGGTTGATCAGCTCTAAATGAACTTCCATTTACGCAAATGGTAATAAAAAAAGAGATAACAGAGCTAGCCGATAAAAGGGAAAATGATTTCCAACGAAAAAGTCTCATATTATTTAGTCAAGACAGTGACTAGAAACATTAATCATGACTGTAGAAAGTGGAAAGATTTATTCAGTAATTGATACATCAGTGACAAAAACAGGAAACATCTCCCAGTAAATAAATTTAACCTAGGAATTAATGAACAGAGATGGTGGCTGTACAAAATAAAGTACTAGAAGATTAATCCATTAAGAATTTATGTGCAGTTTCTGCAAAACTCAGAAAAGCATTACGTTATATTTATTCCAGTAAAGCCAATTTGCCTTGTCAAAAAAGGAGTGAGTAAGCCCAAAACAAAATGGAGGGGATAAAATATCCGGAAAAATTTACTTTACGGCTAATGATAGATTGTTCTGTATATGATATGGTAAGGAAATGTGAGACTGATTGTAAGGTTTCAAATCTACTGGTCAGGAAATGATCCACAAAATTTGAATCTAATAATCATTCACGTTTCAAGTGAATTTATTTTGCGTACAATAGTTTGGCATAAGTATGCAATCTTGTTATCTAAGACAACTCAAATTTTAAAAAATATCACGATCTGATGTAAGTTAGCCACTTATTGAAAACTAATAAGAACCAGGTAGTTGTTTCGTCCTAGTATAAAACCTGAAGGTCTTAGGCCCCATCCCCGGTAAAGTTGTGTATGGGCACTGCTGAGAGGTTCCATGCAATGATCTGCACAAAGTTTTATACTAATAACTCATATTATTCTGACCACCGAATTTTGTTTCTAATATTCCTTCACTTTCGGTAGAGCATTAATAATTTCTATGTAGGTCCTTGTAATTATCAGTCAATCAATATTTTAAATCCATTTACTAAATAGTAGTTAAATCATATTCTTAATATCATCATTCATATACGATTTTCATTGGGTAGAAGTTTTTAATTTATCTGTCTAAAATTCAGACTCAATGTTTAGACGAAAGGGAAATATTTCATCTTAAAAGGATTGATTGAAGATAAGATTTACAACCCTCTAGAATAAAATGAAATACATCGTATGAGAATATTATTAGGAATTCCACATCTCAAAAACATTTATAAACCCACACATGTGTGACATATTGTTATCTAAGATTTATACTGACAAAGCTATTTCCTCTTCAACTAGTAGGGTTGATAGATTAAACATATTGACAAAAACACCTACATTCAACTATGCTATTATTTACATGTGTTACTTACTTTCATTGGGTTGAATATATAATTAGGATGAAACAAGCTTCAAGTAAATATAATCTGACATTTTATTATAATGATATTTATTTCAGTTTGTTTATAACGGATCATTTTCGAGCTTTTGAGTAGTTACAAGATTTGGTGCAATATTCAAAGATTTTGTGAGAATTTCGATATTAGGACTTGACACTATAGATTTAACAATGCCATTACAGTTCGAAAATGAGGATGGAGGAAGTGACAGAATTAAATAAGTTAACGTGAAGATGAAGATATTAAATGACTTTAAACAAAAAATTATAGAATGATTTGAAAATATTAGAAAAACATTCAAATCACTCACAATCTTTAAGTCATACTGTGGTGTGTGCTATTGATGTCGACAGATATAAGTAGTATGTATCATCAATCGAAAGTGAAATGCCTGGCGACAGAAGGTCAAGAAGGTCAGATAAATGAGAACGAGAACAGAGAATGATTGATGTGAAAAAGGAAAAGAAACAATCAAGTCTGAGTCAATTGATTGAAAACGAAGTATATACTGTATGGTTCTCAGAATTTACTGAGAAATTTTGTAATTTTGTGTTCAGATACATTCGACCGTTCTCACTTGTGTTCTCGTTCACTACAATATAACTTTATTTTAACACAGGCTTTCTTGCAAAATGATTTATATAAGCTGTGGTCAGCTTTATATTTGTTCAAAACTTATTTCAATATGTTGCTAGCCATAAATGAAATGGAACTAGTTAAATTATAGATCATTTTTGACTATCGTTATTTACCTAACATTTTCTTAATTATCATATCAATAGGAAAACATTAATCTGTCCCCATTTTTATACACGAATAAATTATTGACTGTTTACAAATTGTTTTTAATCTTTGTGTAAATAAACACGGTACAGTTTTAGCTATAAGGCAGCTAAATTCTCTGCTAGTTTTCTCTATTTCTGACTTCTTCAAGTTATCGGTACATTGATTATGTCACAATTTTTCAACCTTGAATAGTTCATTTTTGAAATACTTTTATTTTCTTACTTAACCATAGCTATGTTGAACAATATCATTCATCAGTCAGTCAACCAGCTACAATGTAAGACCAGGTACATATATGCATCAGTCCAAGTTGCCACACCTTTATAGTACAACGAGATGAACATCAAATTTACAGAAGCAGTTACTTCAATGGTAATAATATATAAACAAAAGACTGCGTATAAATATATCATTCATAGAAAATTTTCAATTATCATCATTAAGTTTCATTAATGTAAACATAAACTAAAACCAGAAGAGCTCTAGTTTGCAGTTTAATAATCACCCTGAATCTTTGACTCTTCTAAGAATAAATATATATCTCAGAATAATTACTATATACACATGATTGTTGTTCTGCTTAATAAAAAAAAGACTTTTTCAATTTTGACCACTTAATGTTATTTTATGACTATTTCACAATATGATTAACGAATGTCAAACATCATTTCATCTAATTAAATTGTTGCATTACACTACAATCTTCATAGAAATCATCAATAGTCAGAAATATTGAAAAATGTAAATACTGAATTAATTTGAACAAAATTTAATATCATTAACTGATATTGGTTAAATATTTTTGAGCTTCTCAGGAATTGACCATGTATTTTAATTAAACTTTAATCAAACCCAATATCTTCTTAGTTTGTTTTATTCAAATTATTATTGAGATATAATTTAAATTGACTTATGAACAGATAACAACTAGATAAAAGACGCGAAATAAATGATAAGTGTACAAAGTCAATGAATAATTGAACATTATCTAAGGATAAAACACTCTTCAATTATTTATAGATAATATGATGTTTACTTGTTTATTCATTTATTTATTTAATTTTATTTATATTTTTAACTGTCGCTCAATTAGTTGGTTAGTTGGTTATATATGCGTCAAACACATTTAGATTGAACTTATTAAAATGAAACAAAGTCAAATAGAATGACGAAAAGAGATTAGTGTTGACATTTGCTTTGGAAATTATTCATTATTTCTTCATTATTTTTTTCTATCAGTTCATTTTTCTAGTCCATTTGGTGTGTTCCATTCTGTATCTAAGCTTGTGTCGTCTTTGTGTATTTTTATAAACAGTTATAAAGAATAAACAAAATATCAATAAATGAGGATGTTCAGGATGAATAGACTATGCTACATTTTTTATATTTAGAGAAGAAAATGTTCCGGAAAAATGTCAGCAGTTTCAACTATACAAATAATGTTTACATTAGACAACATAAAAGTTACATATCATGCCATAAAGGTGATCCGTTTAATATTAATTCACTAAATATCATCCAACTTTAATGTGCATATACGTTAATTATACCAGTGGGTTATCAAAACAAATATACACTGGATGGTTTTGAATAAATAACTAATTGATTAACGAACAAGATTTCAAGATACTGATATAAATATCTCAGAAATATCATCTTTAATGAAATCGCAAGTTTAGATTGAACTTTATGGTACATAACTCCATTAAAGTAATCAATATGAGTTCAAAGTGATTTTTCACTACTGATATTTTAAAAAATACACATTTGGGTATCTAAAAACCAATCCAATCACCTATACTGAATTCAATAAAGAGTTATGCATCTTATAAAATGAAATTAGATAATAATATGAGAACAAAATCATAGAGTATGCAAACTGTCTAACTTACTTCTAATGGAAAATTGATTCCTGTTGAAAATCTACATGGCTGTAGATTGGTTTCGTTGTTATCTTATCACATAAAAATAAAAATTTACAATTAAATAAATAGCTAAGATTATATTACTTACAAACGCAGTCTACGGTAGTATACCTGGCTAAGTGCATGACAGATATAACTACTTTTAAGTATTTTTGATAGAATTAAGTGATTTTACTTAGTTTAAACCTCAGAAATCAACCAGATGGGATGTTTATAACTATTTTGCTTGGCTTTCAGCGTTTATAACCAACCCAGTCCGAATTTAACATATGTAGTAGTTGGATTGTAGCAATAAAGATGTATTAATCAGCTTAAAATAATAGTAAGTCTTCGGTGGCATGAAATAAGCGCAATCGACCAAAATCATCAAACTTTGATTGTTTACTTACCTGCATATAAATGAAAAATCACTCATTACATTTAGGTACCTGGAGCATCTTTTCATACTGTAGTGGGTTCTACCCGATACTTAGAGTAAATACGTTACAAAAAGTTAAAGTTAGATTGAAACTAATTCATGTAGCAAAAGATTGATCATACTTTGGTTACTACTGCTAATTTTATCAATTATTACGTTTCAACTAGACTACCGATCACCCATAACTCATTTCCAATGTCTTATTTAGATTCATTTATTATGCTTGGTATAAAATGGCACTAAGAAATCAAAGTAAAATGTGAATTCTGTGAATATATACCAAGAAGGAAATCCTAACCAATAAATAATAGTGAAAAACAAGAATAACGCACATGAAACAACGAAATTCGAATAGAGGGACAACTATGATGGATTTCATTTTTGAGTTCACTCCTAGCTCCCAGAGAGGGTAAATAATGCAGGGTGCGGGGGCAACTAGGAAGATATGAATGAAAAAATTATCAAGCCACTGGAACTATCGTTTTGAATATGTTTGAATACTTGATACCGGGTCTTGGTAAGGTGTTGATGATGCAGACATGGGTTGTATAATATGTTTTTAAACGTATAAAGTGTGCATAAACTTACACCTTGGAATAATTCTGACCGGAAACAGACGAATTGTTTATTAAAAACACTTGGTTCAAACACATACTAGGTAGAATATAGAGGTAAGATTTTAATGCTATTAAGTCGTTTGAACTGGCTTAAAAGCATCCACCTGAGTTGCAAGTTTTCTCTTTACTGGCAAAGGGTAAAACTAAAACAACTCTGGGGTTCATAATATAAGAGGAACTGTTCACGAATACTTAGAAATAAAGATGCTGGTAAAGTAATAAATCATAGAAAGAAGTCTAATGTATGGAAACCTTTGCTATACATTATTTTATGCAAATGGACAATTTGACTTTCGATCAAGAGATAGTAGTAGTAATAATAATAATAATAGTGGTAGTTAACAGTTTCAAACAAAGTTAAATGTTGGTACTGGTCGCAGTACCTAACCAGAATTGATCATGTGTTCGAGAAATGATCAATTAATTGACTATCATTCACTTTTAGATAGTCAAACAGATTAGTGTCTAGATAAAAGTTTGGAATGTGAACTGTTTGTGCAGTCCGTATAAACCCGATTTGACGAAAGTGAATAAATCAATCATTTTCACATAAAATTAATAATATGCGTTTAAAACCAATTTATACAAATAACAGAAACATTATATTTTGATAAAATCATTCAATTTACTCACCACTTTGTTCCTAGTGGGAGAAAAAAGATACAAATCATACTAAAACTGATCAAAAATACAAATAAATTGAATTCAGTTACTTTAATATAGATACGTTTCAATGTGAACTGACGTCAGCAAGAGAGAAAATAAACATTGTGGAGCACTGGAAATTTGTTTCGTTACAGTTTAGAACTTCGTAACTTCTCAACACAGTGTGAGATTAACTTGCAGAAATTATAGTGTAAAGCCTTTCATTTTTGGAGTCAATAAATTAGTAAGTAACTCATCGAATCACCGGACATTATGAATGGATCACTTTATATCGTAAGTCGACCAGAGTGAAAAAAATACTGAATCCTCAAGCTTCGAGTGACTTAGAGAAAAGCTTGAAGATCTTTGGTTCAGTCCCTACTCACGGTTGCAGATATGTCTTGATAAATAGTCTGAAGCAAGGATGGCGAGACTATAATTTATGGACTAACCAATCACATTTGGGATAGTAGGTCTTGGATTTGAGCGCGAAATTCATCCACCCATTTGTCTAAATAGTGTTTTGTCATTTAGCTCTTGCCGATTCGTGATGAAAACCCTAAATATAATTTCCAACCTTATGCATCAACAGTAAATTATAACCATAATTCCTAATATCGGTTTATAACCTCATTTAGCCCTAGTAAGTAGGTCAATTTAGGGTCACTTTAGCGTCGCTCAAAGGTCGTCCGTAAATTATAGCCTCACAACAAGGGCATAACTCTCAGTAGTCTTTAGTTACCATTGGTTCTCGATTAGTCCTTTAACATTATTTTCAAAGTAGGTAAAATAATACACACGCACGAACCAACTAAATCAGATATATTAAACTAGAATTATTCAACGAAACAATCTGAAACAAATCAGTTGAACTATTCTGTAATATTTAATTCATATATTGGGTAGTTATTCTCATTGACTATCTCATCATCACAGTCATCATAATTGTGATATGAAGTAGAAGATTAAATCTGTAATATGTGTTCGCTTCCTTTATTCTATCCACATTGAAGCATTTGCAAATGAATGTAACGAATGAAATATTAACAAATAAACTAAAATATTTAGGAAGTGTAATATAATTCATACATCTGCCTATAAAATTAGTCAGAATATACACTTTGTGCCATGTTTAGATATAAAAATGACCTTTAGGAAACAATAATAAGTGACAACAAATTACAAAATAAGAGGCGATCTTGTTATTGTCACGTTTAAAAACGTTTATCACAGGAAGAAAACAAAAATTTCCTCTGCAATTATTTTATAGAAAAACAACTAACACTTTTCTCGATAGAACATAGAAAGTTGTGAATAATGAATAAAATTGGCTACTTGACCTCTAAAACCTTATTTCAACGTTTTAGTGGTTTCTAACTTATTTCTAGATAAGTTAAAGACCGAGATGCAGTTTTCTGATTATGCTATAAATAACCTTAGAAAACAGATAAGTTCATAGTTTATAACACGGACTGATACAACTTAGACGACTACTGAAAACCAAGAATCACGGGACGGCTTTTTCGTCCTAGTATGAGACTACTCAGGAGTACAAACTCACGACCCTATTGGGGAATGGAACCTAGGAACTTCAAAACTGTTGACAACCCCTTGACCTTTAGAGCACTAAGCCAACATTCAACATTCTACATGTCTATTATCACAGATTCTTTTAGTAGAGCTTTAAACTGAGACCCTTTTGCGATTTATATCATTTTTAATACAAGTATATGTGATCCTAACTGTCTCAAGACTCGAAAACTTCATTTAGATATCCTGTAAACTAGAATGAGTAGTGGTGCAAAACTATCTGGAATATGTATTTTATAACTTAGATTAAACTTTGCTTACCATAAATTCTGAGAAAGCACTCGATGGTGACGTTCTACTTGGCTTGTGAATTGATTCACGATGCAACGCTGAACATAAGTAGTCGTTTGTTTTATTTAAACGTTCCATTGTTGTTCTGGATTGACAATAAAATAACACATTGGTCAATGAAAAAGTTCCTACTTTTTGGCTGAGTGTAGAACCAGTTATTAAACAGTCAACAAGAAACCACGGAGTCTTTAAAGCCTAGTTTTTCCCATTCTGGAATTCATCAGTAGTTCATATTTAATAATTATCACTCGTAGGTTCCATTCAGATAATACTAACTTTCCGTTTACTATGATAAACACCTTTCAGCAAAGTATATAATGTTTCCAACTGATAAGCCAAAAATAGGTCTTAAAAAATTGAAGATTTCAACAGGGCTTCTTGGTCAAGTTAATAGCTGACGACTTTTAGTTTATCTGACATGTAATACGTTTCAATGATAGCAAATATAACTTAAAACAACTAAGTGCCATATTCAATGTTTAGATTTTCCTATTAATCAGGCAATTGAAATAAGTATTTCAAAGTGAATGGAGGACTATTCAGTCAAAGTTTGATGCAAGTATATTGATTTCCGAACAAGTATCAGGATTTAGATTGGTAAAACTACTTATATCTTTTTTCTACAGTCACAGAAATAGAAAAACACATAATCAACAAGGATTTTTCAATATCTAACATTTTCTATTATTACTGATACTGTTACTGCTCCTACTAATCTGGGATTTGTCTTGAAAAATGTTATGTCTGTGTGCTAACGCGGTGTGCCAACCTGAACAAATGCGCATGTGAGTCAGGTTCTATGTTCCGTATAACTGACTGAACAATATGATAGGTAGGACAAGAGAAATGATTATCTCAACTTGCATAGAAAATTAAATATTCATGAAACATGGTTCAAAAGAAACAAATGAAACTGAAAAATGAAAGTTATGAAATCATACTAAACTGAAGACTTAGAGGAAGAAAAAAAATATAATTGAGACTACTTTTCAGTCATGATGCTTAAAGCTTCCAAATAAAAATTATGACTTTAACAGATTTCAACTAGAACGTTTAAATCTACCCAAACACTTTGGATCACAAATAAGTACTTCATGGACTGAAGCCATATATTTGTATAATAACTTTTAGTCTTTTATAACTTCCTAACTTTTTGACCAGAGTAGAACGTTAGAGTAGGAAAATGACAAAGTTTGTAAAATAAACCACTATAACTTAAGTGTATGAAGGTATACAGCCTACACGACAGATTTTCCATTTATACCATAAAACCCCACCTTAACCTCTGCATTACTGAACTAGTATTTCTAACACATCCAAGTAATCTTTTAGGTATACCTATTGCTGAATACTAGCTATCTAAGAACGTTTTCAACCCTCAAAGGCCATTTTACACAATCATTTAGTAATTCATCATCATCTTAACGAAACAGATTTACATTGTCTACTAAACAGAAGTTGGTTATTGAGTCTCTAGGCGGGATATTAGTAATTGGAAACCCAAACAATGAGAACACTAATTAATAAGTCCAGTTTCTGGAATCTGGCTAGACCTCTGACATTAAACTAGAACACTGGACCATCAATCTAAAGCACCTCATCCAGTATCTCGTTATTTTTATAGTAATGGTTATGCATAAGAGAGACGATGAATTTAATTAGGAAGAGTTAACAACACAAACAGATGGAAATTCAGGTAATCAATGACTAGATACTATTTATATGGACATTTTAGAACATTAAAAACGGACACGGATTATTCATCTTATGAATAATTTATTGACTGTTCCATAAGCTCTTGATTTATGAGATGAATTAAGTTATTCATTGGGACTTATAATTCAATGCTATACACTTATCTTCTTGAATTTACTTAAGATAAACCATAAACACTTAAGCCATATATATTAAGATATTTTTGGCACTGTTTGCTTATTCATTTTATCAATTACTATACTTTAGAATAGGTTTTTTATTTGACTAACAAGACTATAAATCTCCATTAGCTTAACATCCATTGAAAACAAAAAGTTACATACATAGAATTACATTTATTTGATCATTGACAAAAAAAATGATACTTACCGCATAACATTTAATTGAGAATATAGATTTTGTTTCTCTTCTTCTTGACTAATCAATTCATGTTTATCCCTTGAAATAATAGAAAAAAAACATGAATAAAATTTTCAGAATAATCTTTATTATGAAATAATATCGAATCATTATACATTTCTTTATTCTAATTTTAGATTTCTTTGCACTACCTTCATTTCACATCTAAATGAAAGTTAGATGTTTAATTATTATAATTCGTTGTGTAGTCTACAGAATTAAAGTACTAAAACTTCGGTACCTAGATGTTGATTGACTTTAATCAAATACCCAATTACTTATCAACTTCATACATATCATTATGTAAGACTTAATTTTTTTCTAGGTATTTAACAATTGAAGGTACACATATATCTGTATATAAGTATGAAACATTACAATCCATTTAAATAAACCTATGGAATAATAAATAAATTATTATATTTCTAATATCCATAATGAGTAGAAAAATTAAATTTTCTCTGAAGAAGTGACTTACATTGAGTCATGAAATGTCAGAATCTAATCTAATTTTTTCTACTCATTAAGTTATTATAAAAATATTAAATGATTTATAATAATCTAGCCAATGCTTAATTTATTTGAAATTATCAAGTTAAACTCTGGTATGATATCTACTATATAATAATAAATTACAATGGTCAAGATCATGAGTCAGTTGAAGCTAGACCATTGAAATTACTATAATATCAACAAAACCCATCTGATATTAATCAACATATGCTTACTAGTGACTGGCTTCGAATGGTGTTTCCTAGAGTTCTAGTGAGAAGCCGTGACCAGTGGAGCTCAACCGGGTCTATTGTGAGATAGTAACTCACTGATGACAATAGTGGATGTGTCGCTCAATCTCGTGGATATGTTGAAGTTAGACATTAACACCGTTGGATGCCGGCTCAGTGGTCTAGTGGCTAAGTGCTCGCGCGCGAAACCAGTAGGTCCTGGGTTCAAATCTCTCAGGGGGCGAGGTCGTGGATGCGCACTGCTGAGGAGTCCCACAATAGGGCGAAACGGCCGTCTAGTGCTTCCAGATTTTCCATGGTGGTCTAGCTTCAACTCACTCATGATCTTAACCATTGAAATTACTATAATATCTACAAAACCCATCTGATAATAATAAGTTCATTGAAATACGTATTTGAAAAGAAAAAAGATACAAAATTATAAATAATGATTACATTGTTAATTGTGTTTCTTGTTGAATTAATTGATCTTTTAACGTTTTCAATTCAAATTCTCTTTGCGCTAGAATTGATAAAACATTTTGTAATTCAATTTTATATGAATTTTGTTCTATCGTTTCATTTTGATTAAGATGTTCATAATGTAAAGAAGAAATTAAAGAAGAATTTGATTTATCAAATGAATCAGTAAATTTTTTCAATATAATAGGACTATTCATTGAATCACAACAATTAGAGGAATGATTTTTAATTTTCTATATAAATAAATATAAAATAAAACAAAAATATCAAGCGGGAATAAGTTTATTTAAAAAAAAAAAAAATCTCGTAAATTATTAAACATATTCAATGAACTGGTAACTAGATTCATTCTACATATTATATCCATTCAATGAATACTGAATCAAAGGGGAATCACTTGAATATATTTATATTCAGAATAAATTAAACTAAGAGAGATTGAGAAGGATATATTTTTTTATAAAAAAAACATTCCCTTTGTAGACTAAATTAAAATTTCATATTATATTAAAATACATTAAATTTGTTCTGATTCCTACCTAAAAACTGAATCAGAGGATATTCGTTAAGATTATCCTAATAAGTCAGTCCTTAAATCAGAATTTATGCCATCAATCAACTTAATGTTGATTGATTTATTAAAATGCAAAAATTATCCAGTATACACAAAATAATTAACAATATTCTGAAATATTGAATGAAATTAGAAGCTTGAAACTCTTAACCTATCTCTAGAAAAAATATATCATTAGTATGGGATTGTGGAGATTATTAGGTTTTGATTGAGATAATTACCATATGCTCACTAATGACTAGCTACGTGAGAGAAATCTCGGAATTCTAGTGTGAAACCGTGACCAGTGGAGCCAATCCATGTTGGGTAGAGACAGGTATCTACCTCAGTACAATGGAGGATGGTCGCGCAATTTCGTGGATTGGTTGGGGTTAGACATTAACACCGCTGGATGCCAGCTCAGTGGTCTAGAGGTTAAGCATTCGCGCGCGAGACTGAAGGCCTTGGGTTCGAATCCTGCGAGCAGAACCGTAGATGCGCACTGCTTAGGAGTCCCGCACTAAGACGAAATGACTGTCCAGTGCTTCTAGATTTCCAATGGTGGTCTAAAATCAATCGCTTCATGATCTCAATCAAAAAAATCATTTGGTATCTACAACTGTTAGATTCATTACCGATCAAACGATAATCCATGAGGATGAAACAAATCGTGATTTTAAACTGTATTCAAAATAGCAGATTATAGATAACCGATATAAATTTATGTAAAGTAAATTAAAAGAGGTTTACTAACACTGAAACTAGAATAACTATAAAGTAAAAAAGGTCTGCTAAGTTTAACAATTGTACTACATACCCCATATATTAAGAAAAACTTTTATAGATACAAACAATTCAGTGTACAATAATTAAAGCTCAGATAAGTTAATAATAGTCAATTATGAATATCCAAACATCACTGAATGTTAGTATGCAATGTATGCCACTTATGTTAACAGATATAAGTAGCATGTAGCACCATTCGAAAGTAGAATGTCTGTGAGCAGAAGGTTGAGAAGACTGAAATGTAGAGATGAGCGAAGGAAACTGAAAGCAATTTAAATAACAACAGGAATTAAGGAACAATGAAGCTTGCAGGAGACAATTCGAAGATATGCAAATGATGTATTTGACGCATGATTTTCACACTTTACCAAACCACTGTATGATTGTGCATTAAACAATAAATTGTTTTTCCCCACCAAGTCTTCCTTCACTACAAATAAACCACTTGAGGCAAAAATCGATGAGAAAGCTCTTCTATAAATCAACAATATGAAATAAACTCCAGTAATTTAAGATTTTAATTCTATCAAATTCAAGCTGAAACGAATTCAAATGTAATATTACAATAATTATTAATTATTACTATTACGGATAATACTCGTACACGTTGTAAACTTTCAACTTGTTCCCGTATTTCTGTGATTTCTTGTTCTTTGTTAGAGACCAGTGTTCTATACTCACTTTGTAACTTTTCATGTACCTAAAAAACACCGTACAGTAAAACGATGTAAAACAAATCTATTTAAAACAATGATATATATATATATATATATATATATATATATATATATATATATATATAGAATAAATTGTTTGGAAATTATCTTTCCACTACGAAGCAATATTTTCAGAAGGGGTTTGTGGAGATTTTTAGAAATTTTCACAGATTGAAATCATGAGTCAGTTGAAGCTAGACCACCATTGAAAACCTGGAAGCACTGGACGGCCGTTTCGTCCTAGTATGGGACTCCTCAGCAGTGCGCATCCACGATCCTGCACCACGCGGAGCTCGAACCCAGGACCTACTGGCTTCGCGCGCGAGCAGATGCGGGATCGTGGATGCGCACTGCTGAGGAGTCCCATACTAGGACGAAACGGCCGTCCAGTGCTTCCAGGTTTTCAATGGTGGTCTAGCTTCAACTGACTCATGATTTCAATCTGTGAAGCAATATTTATCATGGAATAAATAGAAATAGAAAGCCAATAGAAGACTGATCCACTTTTAAAAAGATAATGAAATAAATTGGAGTATTCTATGTTCACTTGAAAATTGAACTGGCAAACTGTAATAGAAACATCAGATAACTTACAAGAATTTTGCAACAGCTATTATATTGATTATCAACGTATCGTTGAAAAATGTCATAGATTTCAATACAAATCACATAGGTATTTATTCGAATTGTTTTATTATTGTTGTTATATATATAAATTGATTGTAGGAAATCCGCCATAATGTCCATAAGTTGTCATTTCACGTACATTAAATCACGGAAATTCAACGTGGTTTACTTTTGTACTTCTATCTTGACTACTTACTAGTAGTTAACACAATATCTGGTGTCTACTGATTTAAATTTTTATAAAGAAATTTCTACTGAATATTGTGGCTGATATCAGGAATCTGTTCATGTACATTGAGAGACTACTAAACTATCACAGAATAGGAAATACTAACCTAAATCTAACCACATTTCACTATCCAAGAATAAATTGTTTTTCTAATATAATTGATTTTCGAATCCTAGTATAAGCAATAATAATGATAATTCAAATAGGATTTTCTTTATAAAGATTTTTTCATCCATTTTCTATGTAGTTCTTACAATAAATAATTGTAAATATTAGTTTGAAGCGTACAAACATGAAAACTAACGAGCACTAGTAAGTGATTGTATAATAAGAAGCTTACTTCCGATTTGGCACGTTCCTCTATTGATTTAATCTGTAATTCAAGTTCACCTTCTAATCTAGATAAATCACTTTTACGTTTTTCCTTCTCTCTGTCATGATCACATAGAAAAATAAACAAAAATAATAATAAGTATGTAAACATTTTGTTTTTGGTTGAGAATAAAATAATAAATTTAATAAATGAAAGACTAATATGGTGTTTCAAATTTTCTAGAGAATTAAGATTAACAATGTTTCAAAATCAAGGTAAACTAACTAGTATTAAACAATCGGTTCTTCTTTATGATTTATACTAGTACTCGAAATCAATCTAATACACAATCACACTTTATAAATCTATGAAGGTCACATCTTGAAAGGATGGAGATTTTACTAAGCCATAATATTTGAATTCAGTAAATAACAAATTCCAGTTACAATTGATTTTAAAGATGAAGGAACTGTCAACGCGAGCACATGTCCTCACGCTTTAATTCAAGATTTTCATAGATTATTATCTTGTATCAGAAATTCTAGACATTTAAATCAAATTGAGTCACTGGTAAACATTAAATTCACTCTAATAAGAAATCAATCACAATCCTCGACAATACGTGATTTAGCGCTTTATGATATCAGTAGTACTCAATAAGTAGGATTAAAGAACAATCCCTTTTTCCCGTTTTTCACTGATGTCTATGTCCGTGGTCTAAGCTTATTTAAACTATTCACCTTGATAAGCACTTTCATTATGTCTTGCCATCAGAGCATATAAGAGTTTGGTCATCATTGAGCTATGTGGCCTAAGACCATATAGTTTTACTTCTAATATGAAACAAATTAAGAAAGTTCATAAAATATTACAGACCTTGATGGTATTCATTGATGAAGAACATTTTAAATATCTTCAGTTATAGTAATTAATAACTATGGTTTAGATTTAAGATGAATTATACACTTTCCCATCATCACAGTAATATATTACTGACAAATACTTTCCAAAACGATTTTTAGGTCTTCTTATCTGGGTTAACATTCATGAAGAACAAATTCATACGCATATATACACACATAGCAGATAAATTGAAATATTATGTATAAACCAGTTAGTTAAGAGAATGAAGCTTAAGAATCATGTTTTTTTATCAAATTAAACCGTTACTGATCTATACTAGAAATTTAACAGAAGTATTAAACATATTACTTAAAAACAATAGTTACTTTTTCCCAAATGACAATGCTAACTAGATGAACAACCGTGAGGTGCCAGAATAATTAAAGTTAATATGGAGGATATTACTTCTATTTTTTTAAAAAGTGATTTATTACAAGAAAACAAGAATAAACAATGTTCTCATATTCAAAACAGAACATAAATGTAAACTCCTGAAATATTTTTTATGATCAGAAAAGGTATAGAAAACCTGACAGGAATTACAATAAAGAGTAATAAATGTAACATATTAAAAATTAATAATATGATTCGGAAATGTTTGACAGTTTAATAAAACAAATTTATCAAATTTTTCCTATTGAAGATTAGATATACAAGATACAAATAGACAGTTGGATAGGAAACAAAAAGACAACTAACCATTTGTCATTGTCATTTATTAAACTAAAAATGAGTAATAAATATAAAGGGTACTCCTGTTATAAACTAATGTCAGTAGAATAACAAACTGTTATTTTAAAATTAGTGAGCAGTTACTATACTGTCACGATTACATAATGTTTTAAATTCTATAATATTCAGTTATCAGTGACAAAAAAATACTTTTTGAAATTTGGTTAAAAGTTCAAATGAAGCAATATATTTTTAATAAAGCCTATCAATTTGGTCTATACCACTTGTAGTACAACCTGTATCATTTAATTTATTAGAACATTAAACCATACTTAGAAAGTTGTATTCGTGTCAAGTGATCAACTTATTGATAAGCATATAAGTATCGTTATCATTGATAAACGTACACTTATCCAGAAATATATCTTACTGTTTAAAATTCATTTTTTCTGATATATGATAACGTTATGTGGTATCTTGAAGTAGCTATGAGAAATATATAATTATGTTTGTCTATATTTATAATCTATAAATTACACTCCATGCTATTCTTACAAATTTAAGGATTCTAATCTTGAATGGTCATATTAAAAGATATACTAACGAAAAACCGAAATAAATATTTTGTAAGGAATTAGTTAGATAAAATATTCAATAAAATGACAAACCACTATATCAATTTTACATATAAGTAATATATGCACTATGGTTCAATTACAATATTACTATAGCACAATTGCATAGTATAGTTAAGACTGAAAACTTAAAAAAAACAGATCAACTAAGATTTAACATTGATCAGGGAATTAAAATTAGAAATATGTACAAATTTTACAACCTGTTTCAACAAATCCTCTTAAAAAATACACACCAAATATACTAACAACATTTATGATTGACATTGACTTTAATAGTCAAACATCAATAGTTTTTTCTGTTCCTTGTTTCTTTTTTTTCTCCAAAAAGATACATTAATTCATGTTAAAGAAAAGAATAATTCACAACTAAATTGATTTTCACTTTTATTAATAAGACAACAAAACTAAAATCAAATTTTAAACGGTTACTTAGAATAACTCCACCATCAGTTTAAGTAAGTAATATAAATTGGGAAAAAAAGAAAAAAAAACAGAACAGATGTTTTAATTCTAATCACAAGGCATTCGGGAAAAATTAATCACTGAGAACATGAAAATAAATAAAGTGAACTAATAAAGATATAGATATTTTTTAAGTATCTAATGTTCACTAAAATATTGAAGCTTTTCAAGTTTATATTGAATAATGTCTTAGCGAAAAAATCATTTTTGTATTACATATATATGCACAATAGTTTCGTGATTTTATCAAATAAGCGGATAAAGATTTTTCAAAACGTAAAATGTAGTTGCTTATGACTTGGGTTAATTTTTACGTTTTCTTTAAAACCTCTAAAGGATAAAGTTTAATTTATAAGTGGATAAATGAAACTTCGCTTAGTTTCACCTTGTCATCCATCATCAGTATAAATGCTTACAGATTTATTTCAGTAAATGAATAAATTTATTCAATACTTTACTTTATTTACTGATCTGTATGAAGTTGTAGAGATTGTTGAATTTTAATTGAGATCATGAACCGATCAATGTTAGACCATAATTGAAAAGCTGAAATATTTCTATTCCTTTTTATTATAACATTAAATACATTATTATAATTATAAACTAAACAAATCTAAGTAGGTTATCTATTCTCTTTATTAAATTATTCATTAAATTCATCAAATCAGTTCAATATACTAGATTCACTGAGAAAAATGAAAATGCAGTTGAAACTATCTATCAGTATAGAGTTTTTCAAACTAAATATGCATTGTACATTAAAGGAAGCAAAACGTAACGTTCATTCACCAAAATAATCAGTAGGATTATAAATGACCCATTTAATATTCAAACGACAGCAAGCCTGTTTCAATGTTAAGCTTCTAAAGACTTTCATCATCCATGTTGCACTTATTTACTGATCAGTTTGGTTTTAAGTTCATCAGCACGACTGCTGTAGACTAGTTAAAATTTTGTTATTGTGACCGAGTGTTTAAAGTTTACTGTTTACTTTGTTTAAACATTTGACAAATTACAATTTGGTGCTTAATACTGTAAGGCTTATGTTATCCGTCATGTTTTAAACATTCAATAATTGTTAATAATAAATATATTTTCGTTATATCCAAATAAGTAGAAAAATTGTATTTATTGAGTTTCGTGACTTAATGTAAGCCACTTCGTCAGAGTACATGTATATAACACTTAAAATGTAATAAAAACATCAAGAATTATTTGATTCATTAAATAATTTGAAAAAAATAATGAGAACAAAGGGAATACATAGATGAATAAGCTGTTTATATCTTAAGGAAATGCTTAATTTCAACCTAATTTTAATTATTCCTCTGATAATGAAAAATGTATGGACAAAGTTTTCATCATAAGACCTCCAAAGAAAGTTTACCACAGTCATACAAATAGGATATATATTCATATAAAGCAGTAATTATTTCATTTATTTCATTTTCTGAAATATGGGGTGTATTACTTGCTAAATATGGGTCGTTTGATGTATTTAAAAGATTTACTTGATATTTTGTTCCAAGCAATGAAGTAACTGGTTAATAAAACAACTAGTGATGATAAAACTAGTGTTGGGGCAAGTCTGTAATTTATGGACGAACCACTCAAAATCAAGACGAAGATACTCGAATTTCGGCCCGAAATTCACTTATCCATATAACTAAATAGTATTTTGTCATTACGGATTATGTCAATTCATGATGAAAACTCTAACTTCTGATCACGATTGCTCACAATAATTAATGATCTTATTATGACACTGGCAAATGGTTAAAGCTTTATAAGATCACTACAGGATCGCTCGAATGTCGTCCATAAATTATAGTCTCAGTAATGTTAGTCTCAGGGTATAGGCTTTTTTCTATGGTAAATGTATAGGGTCAGTGAACTCCAGTCCAATTATTCCTCAAGGTGAACACAATCATGCCTTAGAAAACTGATTGCTAAACAATGAACGGTTTTCCGAAGTTCGTAAAATGGATGGACGAATGATGCGAATGCATCATTCAATGAGACATTTCCAGTATATGCGGTAGAGTAGTCCGAGTTTATATACATTAGTACCTGTTAATCTATTCTATTAATAAACGTTTAACTGGTTCTATGAGTTCTCTAAAAGCCTTAAACAAACATAATATCTCTACCACAAGGTAAGAGTTGGTTGGGCTAGTAAATCGTTACATAGTAGTGCTTCAATGTGAGATTACTTACGTCAAGCAGTCACATCATCACAATCAATTATCGAAGATCGTTAACTGAGCAATATAACTAAGATTCATAATATCGATTTAGCCTTCACGCCTACAAATGCAGCTACATGAAAATATTTCGAATTGCTAGAGAAAAATGTAAGTTGTGATAATGAATGCCACTGAAAAAGTGATTTTGAGAGTACTTGTAGATTTGCTTAACATTTGAGATAACTTTGGAAAAATTGTTTTACTACTTCCAACTACTAAGTAGCACATGTCCCTAACAAAAATCTTACAGTCCATGATCTGATGATGTACAAAACGAACAGAAATTAAAGTCTGTTTGATAAAATCGGTGACACTCTTCAGGTTTCCAACAAACTCATTTATATTCAAAGTTGTTAGATAAGTATTTATTGTTAAATATTCTCTAAAAGTATATATTTCTATTTTTACTGAGATCACGAACTGATCTAAGTTATACAACTTCTGGAAGCCTGAGAACACTGGATTGTCATTTTGTCTTAAAGTGGGACTCTTCAGCAGTGTGCATACACAACCTCAGAACTGATGTCAGACTCAGGCCTTCAGTGTCGCGAGCGAAATTCTAATCTCTAAACCGCCAAGTCAAACTCAAAGCATACAAGTTTAACTTCAATCACTCGAATATGCTGGGCGACTATGATTGTCTAACTTAGATTGGTTTGTGATCTTAATAAAACTTAGAAATCTCCACAAATTCATAATGAGATGTTGTTTTGATAGTGTAGTGATAAGATGGAGTTAATCCGAAAAGTGTGATTTGTTTTCGCTAAATATTTCGAAGAATTTGGTTACACATATACCTGTTAACGTATTCATAAACGAAGAAATACTGAGGATAAAGTAAATATATAAAGTGAAAAACGAAAATATATGAGAGAAGAAAGAAATATAACATGTAAACAATAAGAGGTTGAGATAGTTTAAAGATTTGTAGCTTAGGTGGATGATTTTGGTGGAGATTTCCGGTGAATAGTTTTTATACAACATTTTGAAAGTTGTACTATGGACAATTCTATGCCATGTTTCAATTGTGCATTCTGTTAATTTCCTTGTGTGAGGAAGTAGTAAGTTACCCTGAATCCTAAGAAAGTAACACAGTGTCTAGAAGACATCTATGGTTATAACAATAACTTTCAATTGTAACTATAACATTGGTAAATTAAAAATCATATCTTAGCCAACAGGGGATATGATCATTTCTATCAGAGCTATCTAATAAACTAACTTTCATTTAAATCATTAATCCCTCAAGAAATAAAAAGAGTTAGTGAAACAACCTTATGATAGCTGTCATCACCATGTCATTATGATTATCGGTGTTTTTTGAGCATATATGATCTACTCCATTTGCAAACTGTCAATAATTAGAAGTTAATACTCTGTAATAAACACACAATGTCACATATACAAATCTTATCGTGAATTTTTTAGGCATTAACCATACAATCAAATAAATAATCAGAAACTTTACTATTAATAAAGTGTTAATCATAAAAATGTCTGATGATATGTCATTGAAAACCGACATTATACACAAGTTAATTCAATATTATTGATGGTAAAACAATTCTTGAAACAAAAAAGAAATTTTAATGCAATTCTGTAGAAATAAACTTTTCAAAAAGCTCCTTCAAAATGTATTTGTGAATAAGTAGGCTTTATTATCCAGTCCATTACTATTATCAATATTATTGTTATTATTATTACTATGGTTGAGTTTTTGAAAACAGTAACAATAAATATGCTCTGTAATTTGACAAAAAAAGTAATCGTGATTTATATGTATCCATGCCAAAATATGAAAATGTCATACAAACGTTTGCATAATACACAAATAACAAAAAATATACTCATACGACTCATTAAATATTTTGACAACTATGAAAGAAAACCAAAACACATGAAAAAGATTTTCTAGATTGTTTTAAAATGTAGATAAATAATTATATGCTCATTAAGCGTATAAACAAATTGATTCAATTGGAAGTTAGGTTTATTCATAAACCGATACTAACTGATGAAATATTGTAAGCTAAAAGATACTAGTTTTTGGTGATACTTTAACTAATATCAGATTACCAAAGCGGTTTGTAGAGATCCTTAAATTTTATAGTTTAGATTGCAGACTGATAATTGAAAACTGGGGTGTATTGGTCCACTGCTCTTAGTCAATCATAATCCATATGATCACTGAATTGATTTTATGATATCCTACATCAGTATTTACGGAAATAATTTTTAAGCCATTGAATTATAAAACAATATTCAATCAGTATTTTGTTTTCTTCCGTTATGCATGTTTGTTTTCGAAACCTTAGATAGAGATTGATATGAATATATATGTAAGTTGATATATACATCTAAACTGTTTGATAAGGTTACCATATTGTTCAGAATAATGAATACATTCTAATAAATATTACAGAACAATTAATATTGAATAACTTTTGTTGTCATTCGTTATTTTTCGAGAAATTGAAAAGTATGTCATCGATATAATAAACAGGCAAGATGGATATCCAGTTGAATACAAACTCATTATACCCTCTCTTTTACTAAATAACCTCAAATGACACTATACCATGTTACGAAGTAGTCAAAATAATTAAAAAACTTCAGAAGAGAAATAATGATGTGTGTAAGAAGTAGGATAGATTTCTTATACATCTTATAATGCAGTAATCTGGACATCAGTAAAATTGTAAGATATTTTCGGTTACCAGATTATTCTGTCCGAGCTTTTGTTTGTTAATGATGAAGAATAAAATATATCTCATGATAGAATTCTAATCTTCATTCAAGAGTTCAACGATGAAACACTATTTATTACATAAAAGTATTACTAATAATTATTCATTTTTATTTAAGAATCAAATTAATATGAATTACTTACTTTATGTATGTTTCTTCCAAATCGATTTTTTCTTTTTTAGTTCGTAAAAGTTCATTTCGAAAATCATTTAGAACAATTTTAAATGGACTTAATAATTCTGGATAATTCTGTGATATTACACTTTCTAATTCACAAACACTACTGTATCTAGAAAAAAACAATCAGAAAACGAAATAGAGGAAAGTAAGATAAAAAAACAAAAAGTGACTATTTAATAACTACATTAATAGAGTTTGTGTCATTAGCAAAATATACTACTAAATCTACACTATAAGTAGAAAGACACTACTGATACTAGTAAACAACTCTCAAATGCATTCACTGATCAGACTGTTCAGCCTAATTTTCGCCATACAAAATAGTATTGAAATCCACTCTGAACAATGGAATTTGAGATACTGGATTTCGATTGGCCTAATTTAGTCAAACATACTGAACCCATAAGTTGTAGCCAAACTCCTCATGTTGTTCAGCAGTCAATTAAGATATTGAAAGCACATTTAAAATAAATATTTGTAGAGAAATGATAACTGACTGATCAATAATCTGTGTCGTTATCGAATGTAAATGTAAAAATTCTAAACCATCGAACCTGTAACCTGCATTTGACCTACAATATTCCATTGAAATTATTGGTGAAACATTACGATTTAGGAAATATATAGACTAAAATTTGAATTGTCCTCTTTCATTGCATTCAACACTTAATTTATTCTCTTGATTTTCAATCTCGATTATTCATTTGTTTTGTATGCTACATTCATAATTACCTCCGCTTTAAAAATACATCAATGACTGTATCTCACTTCACTAACGAAAAGACAAGGATATTCAGTGTTTGATGACTGTTATGCTTGAGTGCACTCACTAGACTTCTCTTCACGCTTCTATTTTTCCTGGCTAACTTTAAATATATCCTCATCGTATCACTGATTGTTTATTGTAGGGATACTTATAGAGCAGTTAATCAATTTAAATAAAAATCTATCAAAATCAGCAAGCGCATATATGACGACAGATCTGTCACAGTAATTTTTGTTATTGTTCTATGTTCTCTATTTTTGTTCCGTTTCGTTTTCCTCCCTAATTACAGATGATTATAAGTAACTTATAACAATACTGGAATCGCTTTGCCAAAACTTACGTTTCAGATGATCAACTAAGAAAACACTGTTTCCCAACTACTTGCTTCACATAATTATTATAGTCATTCCTACAAATGTTCCATCGAAACAATCTCTAAATCACATCTTTTCAAACAATATACTAAGTCCTTTTTATGCTACGATTCTTTATGCAGCAACCTGACCATGCCTGTGGGCAGGCATGCATTCTGTAGTTATTTTCACAATATAATTTATGGGCGGTATCAATATCAAAGTTGGAATTGATGGTTTCAAATAAATTGAGCATTAGGTATAAAGTTGATAAAAATATAATAATGATACTTTTGTGATATAAATATTATTAAAAATATATTAAAACAAAATTATTTATCTATGCATGAAAACTTAAGTGAAAGATCTTGGATTGGTAATGTAGTAATACCTTACCGCCAAGGTACAGCAGCATTACGACAGTTCTTGAAATCTTACAGGATTAAAGCCTTCGATAAAACATTCAACACTGTAAAACGGTCTAGTTAGAAATAAAGATACGATCCCATTTGCATTCACATAATATGGTATCAACAGCTCAAGTTGCGCTGATTGGAGGGTCGACTCGTGCCGAGGAACACTTCACTTACACAAAAAGACCTAAAAATCTTATAGAGCTGGACAATTTCCAAATTAAATCGGCAATAGCAGTATATGCTATTTTCAATAATCGGTAAATTGATATTAAAAATGTTGAAACGACTTCAGAAAGGTATTTTCAACTATATAGAGAGGTGACTAACCGAAGTATTTCATACAATACTAAATCCCTCTGCTCTCAATAAAAAGGAAGGTCTGACTATCCATCTAACTTGAACGTTTTATTCAAACAATTACAGTTGACTCCATTCATTTTCAACACAGTCGACACACAAGCACACTGAAACCCTAACTACATTCCAACATTTTGGAAATCATACATTTTTCATACCCACCAACATAAATACAAATAAACACAGTGATGTCTCATACAGAATCATCATGACCAAAAGTAATATGACATTAACACACTCAGACCTATTGTGATTTTGATTGTCTTAAAATGTATTCCACTTTGTTTCTTTTGTACCATTTAAACTCATGTCAATTTATTTCGTTTGTTTATTTACTTATTTACTCCGAAGAAGTGGCTAATATTCGGTCATGAAGTCAGAAATACAAATTTCTACTGGTGAGCATATCCTAAAATACAATTATTTTATTATTATTTTAAACGACATAACTGAATCATCATATTTTGACTGAATATTGTAATACATCTCAGGCCTACAGGAGGTCAGTTACGGCCCCGATAGCTCAGTGGTAACGTCTCTGACTGTGACGCTGGGTGGCACGGGGTCGAATACATCAGTGAGCACCAGTTCCCTCAAAGTTACAGGTACACTTTGCTGACGAGTGCCAAGTTGCATGAGACATAGTTTCAGGGTTTCCTGTTGACTACCTCCAACCATCATCTTATCTCAACATAGTGCACGCAATGTCGAGTCACCTAAACTAGTGGCCATATTACAACTTGGTCGACAGGATTCGATCTGCACTAAGAAGGACCTGACGTATATAAAAGTGATCACCACCCAGTGATCAACCAATTGAATATTCTACACACAAGCAACAGTATTAATTCTTCAATACTCGTGCACATAGTTATTTAGCGATAATATTATCATTTTAAAATTATTTAGCTAGGATTTGAGAATATGTACCGTAAGGAAATTATCAACTCAGCCACCCAACTCACTCCAATAATTTTACCAATTAACAGAACTGTTGTACAAATGATTTATCCGAGTACATAATAAATAATTGACTTGGAGATTGGTTAGAATAAGTAGAATAATGTAATAACTAAAAAGGTAATCTATTCGTGTTCACATCTTAGAAAGAAAATCATATCTCTAATATAAAATAAAGTGCGAAAAATCATTTAACTTTTTGTTACCATGATACATCATAGAAGAGTCAGTTGAAAAATTCACGTATCAAATTTTTGAATGAACAACTAATCAAATCATGGTATAACTTATATAATAATCTGATCTTAGCCAGTCATTATAAACCAGGAAACACTGAACAGCTGTCTTGTCGTAGTGTGTTACTACTCGGTTAAGATTAGTCCATTATGTGAACTATGAAATCAAACAGCTTCCACAAACCCTTCCCACAATAATGGTTGAAATAATAAAATTTGATTAGATAAACATAACTGAAAGAAAAAAACACGCATGTTTTACAATAATTCACTTTTTAAGTAGATCTGCTTCAACCTTTACATTTATAAAACAGGAATATTTCTATTGATAAATGAAAATATTAAACCAATCAAAGCAATTTATGAGCCAACTGTCACAATGTAATAGGTAGCATAACTACAAATAATAGTTAGAAAGTATGACTGCATATTAAGAAGACAAGTGTACTCGTAGGGGTGAGAATACTACAAATAATAAAAGTTCTAACCCATAGTCCAACATAGGAAGTACGTCAAAACTTGGATAAACAGATCTTTAAAAAACTCACCACTAAAAACATTCAAAATTCCGTAATAAGATAGTGAAGAATATAAAAGCAGGGAGTTGACAAACAAGAGCAGTATGTGAAAAAATTAATAAAACTATTTATTTAGTAATATGTGTCAAACGAAGGGATAGAGGCATCACGGATTTTTTTTGAACACATAAGTCAAGGTTACAGGTATGGATCTCCATTCAGTCCCTCTCAGTTTTCAGTGGTTGTTTAGCTAAGATCGGTTGTTGGTGTATATCAAAGGGTTACCCACCTCATCAACCCGTTTGTAAAAATAGTATTTTCATACACATAGTTCCCTTTATTATTTTAAAAAGAGCAAGAACAAAGGTTGGTGCAGAATAATATGAATTCATTTTATTTCGTTCATATTATTCTGCACCAACCTTTGTTCTTGCTCTTTTTAAAAAAATAATATTCACCAAGCTATACTACTCAATAGTTCTAGAGATTAAAGTGCCACCTGAGTTATTGAAGCACTTTTCCTGCTAAGAAATAAATCTGCTGTTCAGATCTCTCCTCAAATAGTGTTTTTATCATCACTTCTTATGGTGCTAAGAAAAATACCTAGTAATCCATAAGTGATAGACGATGAAAACGTAGTTCAAACCTTTCTCTATACGAATTAATATCGGTTACATTTCGGTGGATTGGTATATTTTGCAAATGTTCATTTAACGTTGCACTTTAAACCATATGAAAAGGTTACCCAAAATGATTGTTTTGAGTATTATTTTGTGTGTGCTACAATAATTTCAGTTTTGAACTATTTTGATCAATAAGATTTATGTCAGACAAATAAATGAAATTCAGTAGAACACCCTGGCAATCCTTTTATATCATAGAATATTTAAAACACAATCAGTAGATAACATTCAGTTGACGTTTTTTGTATGAAATAACACTCACTAATCAAGTAATTCATCGGCACTGCTTTCATTGGTTTTCCCTACAAAATTAACAACTACATAGTACTAGTGTGTACAAGCCCATATCGCATCTAGAAAATGGGCGATTTACACATGAGTGGCTAAATTACCAACACATATATAAACATAATGGGTTTTGTGGAGATTTTTAGAAATTTCACAAGTTGAAATCATGAGCCAATTGAAGCTAGACCACCATGGAAAACCTGGAAGCACTGAACGGCCGTTTCGTCCTTGGTTGAAGTTAGACATTAACACCGTTGGATGCCGACCGGCTCAGTGGTCTAATGGTTAAGTGCTCGCGCGCGAAGCCAGTGGGTCCTGGGTTCGAATCCCGCGGGGGAGGGTTCGTGGATGCGCACAGCTGAGGAGTCCCATACTAGAACGAAACGGCCGTCCAGTGCTTCCAGGTTTTCCATGGTGGTCTAGCTTCAATTGGCTCATGATTTCAACTTGTGACATACATAAACGTCGGTGTGTATGAACAAAATAAATTTTATTTATGAAAAAAGATAATTTTGTTCTAACGGACCCAAAA